TCTTATACCTCTATGACTTTACCCCTAAGTCGATTAATTCTTAGTCAAGTAGTTACCGTACACGAGTAGACAATGGTTTTTCAGTTATGTATGAAAATAAAATTAATTTTCATGTGAGCAAGTGCTAGTAAAAAATGGTGCAACTGTTTATTCAGTTAAAAACTATAATCCAATTTATCTCTAAGCAAGTATTCGCAAGCAAATAGAAGCGCCACTATTTTAAAGTTGTGTAATAATTAAAACAATCTTTCGACAAACAAGCGCTAAAAATTTGTCACTGTTTAGTATATGGAGTTTTTAATGCTGACAACAATTATTCTTGTGCAAACGCCAGCAAATAGTAGCCTTACTATTTTTTTGTTATGTATAATAATTAAAACAATTTTTCAGCAAGTAAGCGCGAGAAATATAATACTGCCTAATATTTGTAGTTTTTTGGGCTAACGAAAATTATTTTTGTGCAAACAAATGCCTGTGATAAGAAGAAAAATTACTTTTTAGTTATAAGTAATAATTAAATCCACTCAGAATGAATTTTGATAAAGTCTATAGCTACATATTTTAGGCAATTACTTATTACTAATGATAAATTACTTACTGAAGAATTGTTCCAAATATTATAAATAACTAAGTGCGGCTACGCTTTTCTTCCAAATGCCTGCCCAAAAATTAATTAAATAAGAGTTAATAACTTCAAAATAGTTCAGCTACTCATCTAACACTTGCCTACATCCAAGTTAGTTAATTATTTGACATAAACTAACTGAACAGTAGTAAAGCTACTCGTTTACGATAAATACTTGCCTAAAAATGAAATAAATAAATAACAGTTAACTTAACAAATGAAGTAGTTGAGCTAGTTATCACAAAGCGCTTTTTTACCCAAAACTAATTTAAATATAATTTATAATTGAGATATACTCAAGCTACAAATTAAAAGAACTTACTTGCCCAAAAATTAATTGTTGTTCATATTTAAAAAATAGTTAGGCTTCTCGTAATTGCATCTTGCTTGCCCAAGAATAAATTTTCTTAGTGTTCGAAACTATGAAGTAGTCACTCATAGCTACTCACAGAAAAATCAATTTAATTATTGAATTTTAACTGACAATTAGTAAGGCTAATCACTGTCTTCAAATGTTCACACGAAAAATATATTTAATCATCATTAATAAAAAAAAACAGTCTATCTATTTAGTGCTAGCACTTGCTTACAAAAAAATTATTTCACTTCTCATTGTAACAAAAAATCTTTGAGCTACTCATTATAGCTGTTTGCTTGTCTAAAAATTTATGTATTCATCTTTTATAGTAAAAAAAAGTTTATTTAATTATTAATACTGCTTGCTTGCTCAAAAGTATTGTACAAAATTATGAAACTGTTAGGCTACTATCGACAGCGCTTCCTTACCTAGGAAAAAATTGAGTTATTAATTATATCTACAAAACTAAGTAACTCACCTATTTTGTGATAATTTACTATAATTTAATTGACTTCTGAACAAGTATTTGTCACCGATAAAAATCTGACTAATTTTTAGTGAGATATAATATTAAAAATCATTTTTTCTGTGAGTAAGTGCCCGTAATGAGCAGCTCAATTATTTTTCAGTTAAGTTTAAAAAAACATTCATTCTTGGGCAAACTAGCGTTATTGATAAAATGCCTATCTGTTTTACAATGATAAATTAAAATAAAATTAATTCCGGACCAAATAAGTGTGACGAAAGAAACTGTTTTGTGGTTTTAAAGGACAGAAAATTAAATCTTTTGTCAAACAATTTTTTAAGATAAAGATACTAAATATTTTTTAGTAATGTATGATAATAATGAACTGAATTCATAGAAAAGAAAGTGCTTGTGAGTTACCCAATTATTTTTGAATGGTAAATAATACTTGAGGTAATTCTTGGGTGAATAAGAGAAAATAATGATAACTCTTAGTATTTATTAGATTAGTAATAATACAAAAACTGTATGTACGCTACAAAAACTAATTTTTGGGCTACTAAGTACCGATGGTAAGTACCCAACTATTTTTTGGTTGTAAATAATAATTTCATTGATTCTCACGTGAGCGGGCCATTTAATATTCAACTTAACTTTCAATTACAAATTATAATACATTCAATTTTCTGGAGAAAAAACATCTACAATGATTTAGATCAACTAATTTTTAGTTATTATTTATAATTCAATTATATCTTGGACAAGTATTTGCCAGTGACAAATTGTCTAGTTGTTAATTAGTTCTCCTTAATATCAAAGTAATTTTTTAGCAAGCAATCACTGTTCAAGAGTATCCATACTATTTTTTAAAGACTCTTCTCGTCAGACGACTCGGTTATTCATTTTACTGGTAACTATTAACAGGGTGTATCGATTGTATCAAGCACATCTCAGCTACTATCAAGTTCAATGGAAACGAATTTTTCACAAACCATCAAACACGCTGCCTGGACCCTTTTGAAAATCGATAGTGACTATACCCAATGTGCTGGCCAGGAGTTGGCTTTCTTTTTAAAAGGAAGCCCCGAGAGATCCACATATTACCAGAAGTATCTACTATTTAATTTTAAAAATTCAGAAAAGAGGTATTTTAGCATTCTGAATACTCATTTCATTGAAAAAGTCCGAGAAAAAAATCTTGACAATTTTTGACAGAATTTGAACCAGTGACCCCTTCAGTTTCTTTAGCTAGCAGGCTAGCAAGCTAACCACTAAACTATCGAAGCGCTTTAACCATTTACGTTAACTTAAAAAATAAAAATGTAAGGATGGGCGTGCGTTTATGGATGACAAGTTGCCCAGTTGTTTTTCAGTAATGGTTAAAAATGAAATTAATTTTAGGGCAAGCAAGCACCTTCCACGAATATCCATACTATTTTTTAGTGATATTTAATAATCATATTAGTTTTTGGGCAAATAAGCGCCAGCTATGAAAGATTGCTTTGTAGTTTTGAACGCTTAAAGAATTGATTCTTAAGTGAGTATTGGCCACTCACGTGTAGACGACTACTTTTTAGTTTTGTACGACTATCACCGGCTTTGCATGAGATTCACTGACTAGAACACCATTTTGTATTAGAACACAATTAATAAATTACAGACAAAATTAAGTAAATCGAGGAAAGAAAAAAAAGCAAATTAATTATCTTATGCATATTTTAATGGAGCTCATGAACAAGCATATCGATTATGCACAAAAATAAAAGTTAATTAACAACAAAGAGGAGAGAGCAACATGTTAAGGCAGCAGGATCACACAAAATCCTCAGACTTACAATTGATTTCAAATTTGAAAAAAGTTTTTGTATGCTCATAACGAAATTGCTGGCACACAAATAGAGACACTGCATAAATAGGATCCATAATCTATTCTGGGATTTACCCTTGTGTGGTGACAAAACGTTTTTCAAATTTGTTTCGCTGATCAACACGAGATATATAAGGGACACACTTACTAAACTGGTTAACTAATGGATTTAGTGAGAAAGAAAAGTAAAATTTGCAAGATAGTGAATAAAAAAAAAGAACCCATGCTTGTCTTGGTCATCACTTGGGCTATCTCTACTTGACTAGGAAACATTTGAGCTATCTCGCTTTTTCTTTTAACAACGGACTACTTCCTACTGTTTAGTCATACTTTCAATTTTGCTTTTTTTCGCCCTCTTTCCCGACTAGCCACCGTTGCCGCTTTTTGAGCTTGTTTTCGACGGTGTGCGCTTATCTTTGGACCTCATCGTCGCTCATTCGATACACTATTGCACGAACCTTGCAGAAGTTCTGAGACCCCGTAATGTATACATACATGACGAGGCTTTATTTATAATATTTTTGAGTTACTGTTTATGTTAAATCAAATAGTTGTAACACAATCATAATTATGTAGTTTGTCTTATATTTCCGTGTGGTAACAGTACGATGAATGAAAAAAATATCAGCTAATTTATTTAACTGAAATAACAATTCAAGTATAATAGCATAGTTAGTCATTTCCGTGTGTGTGGGTGTGCATCCAATTTTACCTGTACAAGTATAAGCACTTTTCTGTATGCCAAATAAGTGCAATCTTTGGTTGAAATTTATACTTGTTGCCTCCATCATAGAGTGTGAAGTACATTAAAAGGAAACTTAGGAATAGAGAAGAAAGGAAGTAAATCGTTTTGTCCTCAATCGCTATTTAAAACTTATCAGTGTGGCGTTCTAGTGATCTAGCCAAAGACGAACACGGCAAAACTTGCCCAGATACGTATTATTATAACTCTGGCAAAATTGACATATTATGTTTGTAAATCAGCTTGTATTTTCAGTCTTATGCCAATAACAAATTAATACCTTAATTTTAACTCCCGAAACACTTGCTTGTTTATTAATCAGAGAAAAGTGCATATGCATGTATAGGTGCAAGTAATTGCATGCACACGCAAGATTAAATGGTCATGCTTAAATTTGTATGTGAAGAGTTGCAGTTTGGTTGATTTAATTACATAAATATATTAGCAAGTATTTTAGGAGATTAAATTAATTTATTGATTTATTATTGGCATACGAGTTAAATTACATGATTCTTTTACCCCTACTTCTAAATTTCCTACCTTTAATGCACTCCATGCACTCCATGCTCTGTATTAAAGGCACCAAAACCGCATTTTAACAAAAGGTCAAACTTACTTGGGATGGAGAAAAGTTTCCGTATGCATGTGTAGATGCAGTTGATTGCATACAGACACACGAAAATAAAAAAATATGCGTAAACCGTCAAGTAAAGAGTTAGAATTGGATTAATTTAATAGTTATTTTTGAGCAAGTTTTTTCAGTGTAAGTAATTTAAAAATAAAGAAAATCTAGTAGTTAATTTTATGTTTAAATATTTGCACAGACATTTAAAGAAGTACTTTAATGTCAACTTGTAATCATTTTATTTTATTTTATTATCGTTTATACTAATCATGTACTTATGTTTTATCAAATACTTGTATCTGTTATCCTATTTTTAGATTCTGAAGGTACTGACACTGAGGATCAAACAGGAATCGTAAGATCAGTTGGCGAAGTATTATCGAAAGATAGTAAGCAGAAAAGGGAGAAATATTTCTGGCAATACAATGTTCAAGCTAAAGGTCCCAAAGGACAAAGACTGGTCGCTCGTACTCGCCTTGAAAATCCTCATGTTTTGAATGAGGTCACAGATCCTGTTTTTAGTCCACATTGTTCTCTGCGGGGCATTAAGCACAGTGGTAAAGCAAGAAAAGGCGATGGCAATGATTTGACACCTAATCCCAGAAAATTAAATAGTATTGGAAAAGAACTCGATGAATTATCACGTATTATTACAGATATGACTCCTGTTTCGGAGCTGCCTTTTTCAGTTCGACCAAAAACCCGAAAAGAAAAAAACAAATTAGCTTCACGAGCTTGCAGATTAAAAAAAAAGGCTCAACATGAAGCAAATAAAATAAAACTATGTGGCCTGGAACAAGAGCACAGTTGAGTTATCATCATATATTTTATTTGTATTTGCATTCATTATAATAAATTTAACATATTTTTGTAGTATTTTGGTATCTTTAAGCCTACAATAGTGAGGGCTAAAACTCTTGCTAACAAAGTAAATAACTATTAATTTTGTTTATCTTTTGGGCCAAATATTTTGAGAAACACTAGGTTTTTTTGTATTAACGACATTTCTTGTATTTGTTTCGACTGCGTAGGAGTTATTTGCTCGATACGTTAGAGTTGTTCCTTCACGATTTTTAAAAAAGTCTATACAGATCGACACACCAGTCTACAAAACGTCGTTGATACAAAAAATTTAGTGTTTATTATTTTGTTTGCCCCAGAAGATAAACAAAATTAAAAGTTATGTACATTAACAACATAACAGCTTAGTAGTTAGCGTCCTAGCCTTCTAGTCAGAGATACTCGAGGGGTCGTGGATTCGAATCCCGTCGAAAATCATCGAGATTTAATTTCTCGGTCTTCTCCGAAAGGATGAGTGTCCAGAATACCGAAAAACCACTTATCCGATTTTTAACACAAGTAGTTGATTTTTTGATGATGTCTGGATCTCCAGAGGCCTCTTTTTCGAAGGTAAAGCCAACGCCTGACTAGCTCATCGGCTGCAGTCACTATTGGTCATAAAAACGTCAGGACAGCGAGTTAAGTGGTTTATTGAAAAGTATGTTTTCATTATACTTAATAATAGCTAGAACGTGCTTGAGACAATCATTGTTTCTTATAAATAGTTATCAGTAGAATATATGACTGAGGGGGTTAAGACGAAACATCAAGGTGTGCTAGGAGTGTAAGAAATAGGAGACTTTCAGATTTTTTTCTTATGGTCTCATTCTTATAAGTCACATTAACTCCCAGGATCGATGATGTAGCTCCCACTTTTTTGACCCGATATGGCTATAACCGCAAGGTTTGGAACCGATGTGATGGTTGGAGCATAAAACTGTAAGTTGCTTATTTGATTAACCGGATGGTGGCACTGGATCGGCTCGTAGGTTATTAAACGAACGTTTGCCATGACGACTTAAGTTGGAATTTTTTTTTAGTTCTTTCAGGATTCTTATTTTTGTTTTACGTAGCTCTAAGAAAGCATGATTTTCATATACTATTGATTTAATATTCTACTGTGATATGTAGCTTGTTCACCTCATTGACCCTGCAGGCTAGCCATATCTCACATTATCACGCTTAATTATATCAGTTTTCATTAATCGCCATCCTCATTACTTTCTCTTTAGTTATTTTTCCAAGAATTAACTTGAAAAGGTTATCTGTTCAACTCATCATACTTACATCGTAGTTGATTAAAACAAACACTTTAAAATTAAAATTTAACATTTTTAATTCCTTTTAAATTACTCCCATGGTACTTCTAACCTCTCAATTATCATCCCCCACCAGTCCCGACTTTGCCTAGATTGACCCAAAACCGATTCCTTATTAACCCTGTGGTGTAGAAAAACCTCACCCATAATGGAAAACCTCTACCAGGATCAGTCATGAGCTACAAAAAAAATCCTAGCTGGAATAAACTACAGAGTTTAAATCCAACTGTGATTTGAACTAAAGCTCCACTTGAGCAACTGTACCTAAATATCGCAATCTTAGTGAACAAAACTACGACATGAAAATAAAATTTACTTCAATACTTGACTTTACTGTATAATCTACGAATGTGTAAGATTGTATTTATTAAAATGAATTACATAAGACAAAGAAAAATGGTAATATGGATACAACAAAAAGCCACTTCATTGGCCAGTTGGTAAGTCGTGGGGCTGTCGGAAGAAACCATGCTTTTTTATCGTAATAATAATATTTAATTTAAAATAAGCGTATTTCAGGCAAGTGCACTTGAGCACATCTATACATATAAAAAGTGATAAATCATACGTATATTTTCATTTGCACGTATCACATGTAATAATTATAAACACATGTGTACACACACAACATATGTGTGTGTTTATACAAACATATTCTTACATTTTGCGCATACATGTACCAGTAGATATAGTTTTTTTTTTTATATTATAGTGCTCTACGTCTGGCTCCTTTGATAAGGGCACTACTATGGGCACTTAGCACTTGGGAAAAGGACAAAGAAAGGGATGGGAGGCCTCCCATGAAAGGAGGGGGTAGGAGGAAATTAGGAAATTTTAGCTGCGAGAAGGTCACCTAAAACCCTCCTCGAGGAGCATTGCGTAGTAAAAAAGTACATGGAAAATACACTGAGGTATTTGCCCGAAAAGTCGCACTGGCTGGGAATCGAACCACGGTCTTCCGCGTGCCAATCCACGACCTAGCCGACCGAGCCACCGCACGCTCTCAGTAGATATGGTTAATATTATTTGTATATGTAGGTGGATGTGTAATCATATACGCATTTATGTATATGAATACATTTATTTATGTATTTACGTATGCATGTACATATTGATATTTATTTACGTATAGATAAACACATTTATGATACACATGATACATTATATTTGTATACATTTATGTATATGGTAATCAGTTATATCTAAATTTGTATATATACATACATATTACGCATAATGTATGTATAGTATATACATAGATTATGCGTAATATACATAATCCATATATACATTACATAAATAGATACTGATAATTACATACTTGGACATCATGTAAATATGATCATTAGTATACGTATATAATATAGAAGCTTACTTGAAATCATATGTATATATGTTATTGTTACTCTCTATTTTACTGCATCTATTTCAACATATAGATACAACTATTTACGTACATAAAAAAGTGTTTATATACATTAGCTAATATCTGCGTGTACATATTTACGTATACGACGTATATAATGTATATTATGATTACTGTACACACACACAAACACACACACACACACACACACACACACATATATATATATATATCTCCCTATATTACATAGTTATTTGTGTTAAGCATTCCACATATCCCCCCCACAGACCCTCCACAGCCCCCCCAGACCCTCCACAAATAAGCTAAAATACGACCGTTTTCATCGCTATTTAAAATTTTCTAATTTTTTCCTTAGACCCCCCACAGCCCCCACAGACCCTCCACAGCCCCTCCTCCACACACAATTTTGCCTGTCCCTCCACAGACCCCCCACAGGCCCCTACACCATTTTTCTTACATCATGTAGTGTATACTTGTTAAATGATGAAATATTAATCAGTGAATTTCAATTTATTACCACAAATATTGCCGATTTATCTATAAAAATCATCAAGTAAAGTCAATAAATTATGTACAAATCTCTTTCCAAACCATATTTTCTATTTCTGTATTTTTTTTGCCTTTCTACTTCAATAAATAAATTATTTTCATTTTTGCATCTTGATAAAGCCACATACAATTGACCAATAAGAAAATAAGAGTTTTTTAAAATACAAACCTACATTATAGAAACTTTGACCTTGGGATTTGTTTATGGTCATAGCAAATACCACAATAATTGGAAATTGTTTACGATACAAAATAAACGGAAATGTTGAGGAGTTTCCTGTGTCTAAAGTTATTCTTGGAATAAAGACTCTATTTCCATTTTTTTCTCCAGTTATTATTTCTCTTTCTATATTATACTATAATAATTTGGGATTCGTAAACGTGTTCCATTTCAGAGTCCATCTGATATACTTAAATTTTTCAGTAACATCACTATTGTATCAATTTTTAGATTAAGTTCATGAGGTGGTAATCCTTTACGAATATTGTTCAACATTTCTACCGGAAAATTTAAATAAATATTATCGTCTGATTTATTGACCCCTTTATAAGTTGCGTCATCTATACTATAGCAAGTTTTAATTTCTCCAGTTAATTTTTTAAGAATTTTATTATTCAAATAAGAGGTGTTCTCGTTATGCGATGTAAGTATAACACTATTCTTCGAACAATTGTAGATATTAGAAAATATTTGAGAACATACATCATTTGAGATACAATTTTGAGGAATGTTAAAAGTTTTTGCTTCCCCTTCCCCAATTTTTAATAACAATTTTGAAAATTCTTTATCGTGAGAACGAATATTGATTTTTAATTTTTAAATTTGGAATAAGTTCCATAAAAATAAAGATTTAATAGTTTGTTTAAGTATAATTTTTCTATTACCGTTTTTTATGACTGGGAGAATCTGACAAAAATCACCTTCTAAAATAATTAATTTATTTCCAAAATATTTTTTAGTCTTACATGAATCTCTTAACGTTCTGTCTACAATTTCCAATGCTTTTTTTAGAATCATTGAAGCCTTATCCCAAATAATTAAATCAACTTAATTCAATTTAATCTTAATCTCTTAATTTTTTTTATCTGACTCGAATTCTAAAAATTCACTCTCTATATTATTAAGATCTAAAGAAAGTCTTAAAGTTCTATGACTAGTCATCCCCTTTGGAAGCAAAATTGATGCTATGCCAGTCCATGCCATTGACATGATTTTTTTATTTTGAGAAATAAAAAAATAGATTAACGTTTTATATAAATTAGTTTTTTCCGCCCTCGGGTGGTTTAGGGAGGCTGGTACTTCCTCGGGCGAAAAAGCAGTTTTCCGGAACTCGTTCGAAAAGTCTCCTTTACGAACCTCGTTACGTCCTTCGCCTTCGGCTCGGGCCGCAAACCTCTCGGTTTGCAAACAGAGACTTTTCAAACTCGTAGGAAAACTACTATTCCTGACCCTCCAGGATCATCTATGAAAAAAATTTTATTTTTTTGTTTGCAAATAATATGAAATATATTTTTCTGGTCATTATTCAAACTTTCATACATCGGGTTAAACATTTCTTTACTGAAACGTATTTCATCATCTATATCTTCTTTTTTACTCTACATTTTTTTGGTCTAGGTAAATTAAAGCATTCACGTGATTTATCTTTTGATTCTTAAATTTGGTTAGTATGTAAAAGAGCTAAATTATCTTTATTATTAGGTAAACCCT